ACTGCTTTTCCTCTTTCCTCCTCTTCCCTTTCTCCCTCCTCCTCCTCTCGTTTTTCTTCTACTTCCTCCTCCTCCCCCCCATTTATTCCTCCTCCCCTTTCTCCCTGTATTTTTCTTCCTTCTCTTCCCTTTCTCCCTTTTTTCTTCTTCTCCATCTTTTTTCTTCAACTTCTCCTCCTCCTCCTCCTCTTTTTCTACATTTCCTTCCTTCTCTTCCCGTCTATTCCTCCTTCCTCCTCCCCCTTCTCCTTTTCTTCCTCCTCCTGCTTTTCCTCTGTGTCAATCCCCTTCTCTTCTGATGCTGTTCCTAGCTGGGTCATGAAACGTCTGCAAGAAAACCACCCAGCTCAGAGAGCCCCAAAGGATCCCACAATCCTCCTTCCTTCCTTGTCTTTGCTTCTTTCTTTCCTTCTCCTTCTCTCCCTCTCTTTCTGCCTCTCTCTCCCTCTCCTCCTCCCCCTCCCTGCAAACGCCCTCCCGTCTAGCACTGATGACGTTTCCTTATTGCGTCATGAAATGTCTGCAAGAAAACGGTCCAGCTCAGAGAGCACCAAGGACCCCCACAGTCCTCCCTCCCCCTGTTCCCCCCTTCCAGCACTGATGATGTTCCCTAGTTGGGTCATGAAACATCTGCAACAACAACAAACAGCTCAGAGAACAACCAGGGACCCCACAATTGTTTTCTTCCTACTCTTCTTCTGCCTCCTCTACTCTGTGAAACCAACACCCACCCCACCCCCTTCTAGCAGTGATGCTATTGCCTGGATGGGTCATGAGACGTCCACGAGAAAACCACCCAGCTCAGAAAGCACCAACGATCTTACAGTCGACCTCCTCCTCTGGCTCCTTCTCTTCTTTTCCTGGTGCCCCCCACCTCCATCCCATCATTTCTGTGATATGTAGAATTATATATGTGAAAATATAAAGCAATGGTAATGCCATTTTTAACAATTTCCAAACTAGATTGGAGACCTTTTGACCTTCACTTTTATTTTTCTTCTAGCTGGAAGACACTTCGGATGAAACGTATCTGACCTATCACCAAAAATTTGAAGAGCTGGAACGAGCCCGCTGGGATTCCTGGACCGGAACGTCCTCCCAGAGACGAGGAAACAGGTTAGCGGTTCCCACGAGCTCTTGCCTGCCCCTCCAAGAGAGAGTCTCTTCCCACTCAGAGAGATGAGCTGCTACTTCTAGACCAGGCCTTCAGGCTAAAGAACAAACTTCTCAACTCGCCTCTTAGTTTCCCTACCTTATAAGCCTCAGCATGGTGGGCAGCTCCTGGGGAGGTCTTAAGATATGCTGAGGTTGCAAATGGATTATCCAATTTTAGAGGGAGGGAGGGGGTGTGTTGCTACCGGTGCTGGCAGCAGAGTTGGACAGTGAGGAGGTTGGGGAGGAACATGGGCCAGTCCTGGAGTCTGGGGAAGGCTCTGCGTCTGAGGCAGAGATGGGGCCAGGGCCGTCCCACAGTTACCAGCTGCCTTCAGAGTCGGAGATTCAGGGGGGCAGAAGAACAGCTGGAGCCTGTCCTCAATGTGTGTATGCACAGAGCTGCCAGAAGAAGGGAACAGCTAAGAAACAAGGGAGTAAGGACACAGATGGATGGTGAATGGCCCCTCCCAGAGGGATTAAAAGAGGAGCGAAAGGGGAGGGGGCTTTTGCAGGAAACAATTTGTTCGTTGCCACAGTGGGAAGATCTGTCTGTGCATCTCAGAGACTCCGTGCCGAGTCCTTCCTTGTCAGCACTGCGTTTGGAAACATTTACTTGGCCGCCCTCCAGGCTAGGTCGGGGCTGTGCTCCTAATCACACCCTTGAAAGGCTGTTGGCCAGGCCCTTGGCGGAAGGCGAATGCAAGAAATTCGCCTTCCTTTAATAAAAGGGGTTTTGCCGGGAGAAAAAAATCTGCTTAGTGCTTTTGGGGGGAAGCTGAGGTCAGAACAGATAGATGGATAGATAAGATGCTAGAGTTGATATGGTTGGATGGATAAGATGATAGC